GTCGCTAAAGTTTCCGTCGGAACGAATTTACGGAAAATTAACTAACGAACGGAGACGTAACAAATTGGTATCATAAGTGGGATAAAAAAAATGGAAACGAGAAACGGCAAATCAAACTACAGCTTAGCAGATTTGATGGCAGCAATACAAGAACAGCAAAAGAAACAAGAAGAACGAGAAGAGAAATTACAGCAGTTCTTGGAGGAAAAAGAAAATAAACAAGAAGAGAGACAACAGCAGTTGCAAGAAAACCTGCAACAGTGGCAGCTCGAACAACAAAATAAACAAGAAGAGAGATTACAACAGTTGTTGGAGGAAAAAAAAGAAACAAGAAGAAAGATTATAGAAGTGGCAAGAAAACCTACAACAATGGCAGCTCGAACAGCAAAATAAACAAGAAAGACTACAGCAGTGGTTGGAGGAGAAAGAAAATAAACAAGAAGAGAAGTTACAGTAGTTGTTGGAGGAAAAAGAAAAGAAACAAGAAAAGAGACTACAGCAGTGGCAACTGGAACAAGAAGTACAGACGGAAAACATTAGTAAAGTTAAAAGTGAATTAGGTACATTAAAGGACGATCTATTGTCTTTTACACAAGGAGGATACATTAACCATCGACTTAATCAGCCCTAGACAATGGCAAGCCCCTTCCAGACCCTGCAGCTAAACCCTAATGCAGACATATTCAGTCCCGTTAGAAGTCACATCCCAGATATGAATGTCAGTGATAGGAGTAATTCAGTAAGAAGGAAGCCACAGGAATACGATGGGAAAGCACTGTGGGAAGCACATAGAGCACAATTTGAGCTACTGGCAGAGATGAATGGATGGACAGAGGAGCAAAAAGCAGTATATCTGACAACCACTGGAAATACTTGAACAGTTGTCAGCAGACGACAGGCACAACTATAGAGCACTGGTGTCGGCTCTAGAACTCAGGTACGGAACCCAAAACCAGTCAGAAGTCTACAGGGCCAGGTTCAGGACGAGAATCCGTGCTAAAGGGGAGAGCCTGCAAGAGCTGGCACAGGACTTGGAGAGCATAGAACACAAGGCCTACCCAACTGCATCACCCGATCTCCTCAAGTTGTTGCTGAGGGATCAAATTGTAGATGCCTTGGACAGTCCCCAACTTAAGATACAAGTGAAGCAAGCACACCCCTCTACCATGCAGGATGCAATGGCCAGAGCTCTCGAATTCGAATCCTATGTTAAGTCCAGCACAG